TGCCAGAAGAGAGCACCAGATCTCATTACAGATGGTTGTGAGCCATATGTGGATGTTGGGAATTGAACTGAGGACCTCTGGAGGAGCAGCCAGTGTTCTTAACACTCTGAGCCATCTCTCCAACTGAAATTTGGAATTCTTAAAAGGAAGAATTAGGTGAAAGAGAGAGCTTTTCTCCCGCATTAAAAATGGGAAAAATAATTACAATGGAAAGATTTTGGTCTCTGTATGATAATATGCTAGACAGTTTGAAAATGGAACAATTAAATGAGAGGGTAACTAATTTACAGATTTATGTAATATCAATTGTAAACATTATCAGCTTTATCATTTTTTGTTTATCACTAAAAAGTTGCTTAATCTGAGTGCTAAGATGCAGACCTTAGAAAAACCTAATAAAACAAATCACAGAGATATTTAAATCCAGATAGTGGAATTTAATGGAGAACCAATGTCAGCATTACATTATAAGAATAGAGAGGAACAGCCTAAGGTTTCAGACAACCAACTTTAATATATCCAGTAACCTTATGGAATTGCTAAATGGCAGAGACTTTGTTACAGTTAACTGAACTCCTGTGCCAATGTTAGATTTAAGGAGATTCAAGAAAGCAATAATCACATATGGCATGCATTCACCTTTTGTGAAGCAAATGTTAAACTTGTGGTCAATTTGTAACAGAAGTCTCCCAAAAGACAGGACAGAATTGGTTAATGGTGTTTTAGAGCCTAGTCTACAATTACAATGGAGAACTTGGTTCAGAGAAGAGGCTAACATTCTTGAACAATGGAGTAAAGCTAGAGGTAGGGACATCTCCCAAGATCCAATTCATGTAGAAGGAGATTATGTTGCTATAGAAAGGCAATCTATACATGATAACCATACCCTGAAATTATGTCATGCATCAGCTTTAAATGGTTGGGACATAATTGGAGAAACAGGAAAGAAATGGAGTCATTTACTAAAGTTATACAGGGCCCAAAGGAAGCCTTTATGGATTTCTTACAAAGATTGACTTCAGCAATAAATAGAATGATACCAAATTCAGAAGCAAGACAAATAACAATTGAATCCCTGGCTTTTGGAAATGCCAATTCTCAACACAAAAGGATAATCAGGCTGTTAAAGGCAAGGTCAACACCTCTGGAGGAATGGATTTGAGATACAATTAATATTGAACTTCATGAACATGATGATGCATAGATAAGAGAAGTGATTTCCTGAGGTTTGAAGAAAAATTGAAATGTCAAATGTTATAATTGTGACAAACGAGGTCATCTTAAAAGGGATTGTAGACAAAACATTCCTAGAAAAAGTGATTTTTTTTCTTCTTAAGAATAATACATTCAGAATGCCCTTCCTTTGTGGATTATGTGGAAGGTGTAACAAAGGCATGCATTAGACTAATGAATGTAGGTCAACAAGGAATATTCAAGGTAATTCTTTACTGTCAGGAAACTCTGTGAGGGGTCTCCCGCAGGCCCCTATGTCAAATCTGGTTCAGTCATTTCCTGCCATCATAGAGGAATCTCCTTCCCAGAGCAATTAAAGATCCTAATGTCAATTGTAAGAAACCATACTGCTCTGGATAATAGAACAGCTATAGAACAGAGAGCAAAAAATTCAGGAGAAACCATAATGTGAGTATTTTGGCAGACTTCTATAAATGAACAAAGACCAAAATTAAAAATGTGAATAAATGGGGCTGGAGAGATGGCTCAGTGGTTAAGAGCACTGGCTGCTCTTCCAGAGGTCATGAGTTCAATTCCCAGCAACCACATGGCAGCTCACAATCATCTGTAATAAGATTTGGCACCCTCTTCTGGCATGTGGACATACATGGAGGCAGAATGTTGTATTCATAATAAATAAATAAATCTAAAAAGTATGGATAAATGATGTTGTCATAAGGTCTAGTAAACACAGGTGTAGATGTATCAATAATTTCATCAAAATCTTAGCATCCAAATTGGCCTTTTCAGGACATAAATGTTCAATTTTTAGGAATTGGAACTTTATCTCAGGTAAAGCAGAGCATGATGTACGTCAAATGTATGGGGCCACAGAACAGAGAGGAATATTAAAATCATATGTGGCTAACATAAAAATGAATTTGTGGTGGTGTGATTTGTTACAGCTATGGAATACTCAGATTAACATTCCCCAAATCTCAGAAACAAAGCATAAAATAAAGTATATTGCATGGAACAGTATTACAAAATATTATAAAGAACAGTCACAACTGTTCAGATGTACCAGAACAGGGCACAGCATTTACTGATATTTCAACGCTACCAACAGCCCTACCTTTAGAGAAGTTGACAGAAAAACCTGTATGGGTTAAGCAATGGCCTTTAACAATAGAGAAACTACAGGCTTTAGAACAGCTGGTACAGGAGCAACTAAATGCCCAGCATATTGAAGAATCAACCAGCCCTTGGAATTCTTCTGCATTTATTGTTAAAAAGAAATCTGACAAACAGAGAATGGTAACAGTGATTCAACTAATGGGCTCTCTACAGTCTGGAATTCCTTTGCCTGCCCTATTACCTAAAGGATGGCCTCTTATAGTTATTGATTTAAAAGACTGTTTCTTCACTATACCTTTATAAGAAAAGGACAAAGAAAACTTTGCATTCACATTATCTATTTATATAAATTCTCATCCTGCTGAGAGATAGCAACGGAAGGTTCTCCCACAGGGCATGTTAAATAGGCCCACCCTGTGCCAATAGTTTGCAAGTCAGCCATTGAAAATATGTAAGCAATTACCTGAATCTATAGTTTACCATTAAATGAATGACATTTTACTCTCTGATTCACATGTAGATACTTTAGAAAGAATGTTTGAAGAAATAAAGAAATTTTGCCTTGTTGCAGATTACAAACTACTCCTGAAAAAATCTGAAGAGGAGAGTCTATTAATCATTTAGGCTATAAAATAGGTTTACAAAATATTAGACCCCTCCCCCAAAAAAAGGTGCAAATTAGGAGAGATTGACTGCAGATTTTTAATGACTTCCAAACATTGCTAGTAGACATTTCCCATCTACAGCACACTACTGGAATGACCTGATTAATTTAAACAAAAAGTTAGATAGTGACAAGGACTTAAATAGTCCCAGGAAATTATCAGCTGAAACAGAGAGATTGACTTTGATTGAAGAGAAATTACAGAAGGCACATATGGATCATGTAAATCCAAATCTTTTTTTCTTCTTCCCCAAGACAGGGTTTAGTTGTAGCTATCAAGCCTGTCCTGGACCTACCTCTTGTAGCTCAGACTGGCCTCAAACTCAGAGATACACCTGCCTCTGCCTCCCGGGTGCTGGGATTAAAGGCATGCACCACTACCATCCAGTTGGATACTAATCTTAACTGCATTCTGGTCATATTACTCTTCAAACATTCCCCTAAAGGAATTTTAATGCAGCAGGAAGATATCCTTGAATGAGTAGGGGAAAAAAACCTTAAAACTTATGTGGAAAAGGTCTCTGAGTTAATTCTAAAAGGAAAATTGAGATGTTGTCAATTAGCAGGAATAGTTATAGTACCTCTTACCAATGAAATTAACAAATTATGGAGAGAAAGTGATCCCTGGAAAAGAGCTTGAAGTAATTTTTGGGAGAGATTAACAACTATCCCAAAACAGAAAAAAATTCAACTTATAAATAGAACTCACTAGATTCTTGCTTACGTTGTACATGACACACCAATAAATGTAGTCCTGTATCCTATACTAATGCAAATAAATCAGGAAAGGTAGGTTACAAATCATAAAATTTAAGTAAAGTGGATTAAAGTCCTTATGATTCTGCCCAAAAGTCAAAATTATATGCTATTCTCAATATACTATGGATTTAAAGTATCTCTCAACATAGTTACCCATTCTCAATATGCAGAGAGAGTTGTTTTTCATTTTGAAACTGATAAATTTATACCAGATGAAACAGAATTGAATTTATTATTTATTCAGTTACAAGACATAATTAGAAATATGAATTATACCATATGATTAACATACATTTGATCCTATATGAGTCTGCCAGGTCCTCTAGCACAAAGTAATTCAGAAATTGATCAATTGTTGACTGGAAATATGCTGAAGGCCTCAGAATTTCATAAAAATATAATTTCAGTAGCAAAAAAATATAGAAGTACTTTTCTTTCATGTGGCATCAAGCCAAGGAAATTATAAGGAAATGTCCTAGTTGTTCTTTATAAAACTAA